GAAGGCGGAGAGAAACCGTCGCTACAAATTCGTAGATTTCTCTGGTGGCGGCGTAAGGAGAGAACGAGCGTTCGCGAGGAGAAGTCAGACAGGCATAGAAGCCGAGGGCTTCATTATTCAAAGGGTGTCGGCGTCTTGCATTCTGCCGCTCTGCTGGATCCGCGGAAGTTGACGGGTGTGAAGCAACCATCCGTGAGCAGTTCCTCCACCTCCTCTTCCTTCGCGTCGCTTCTCGCGCGCCACTCCAAGCTTCCTCTCTTTCACTCGATCCTCCTCGACTCGCCACGATCGAATCTCGCATCCACCAACGATCTCGCTTGCTATTCGTTTGCGCGATAAATGTTCCTTCTTTTTTTCTTTTTACCGTCTTTTTCGCTTTGAGGCGTTGCGCTTCGGAATTCTGTACGGTGAAGGTGATCGATCGATCGATTCGGGGAGGAACGATGGAGTTGAGGAAAAAGGATGGGGGTGACTGGTTTGCGCAAATTTTAAGGGTAAATGGGAAGTGAGATTTTTTTGAACGATGTGGTTGTATTTGAGATTGCTCTAAATACTGTGCACAGAGGATTCGTTTTTCTGTTGTAATAGTAGAGTTGTTCGAGTTTGAAATGTAGTATGCAGGAAGAATATGGTAATCGTTAAAAGAATGAAAAATTGAATTCTTTTTAGGCATACAGCTTCGTATAGTGATCTGAGATAAAAGTAATAGAGGATGAGATGAAAGATTGTACCTTAACCATAAAGTTCCATTTCTATACCAATTGTCTCGTTGCCATATTTTCGTACTCTAATTTTCAAATTATACAAAATTGTATTTTTGTTTTAGAATATTTTACTTGGAGTACACAGTAGCTCTCAATGAAATTAGTTTAATTTACAAAAAAAAAAAAAGCTAAATAAGAATGTCATCTTCGAAGGACAAATTGCTTCCTCCTCTCTACGCACTAATAATTAGAGCATCGAAACGAATATTACAGTCAACAGATAGCTCCTATTTCCTGTGTGACGCGTGGCGCAACCTTTTGCCACTGTAACGTTCGAGGAGGCGACCAAATTGTGCCGAAACATCGGCTGTGTCTCGTCCCAGTTGATGAGATTTACGAGCGTCAATCGAAATCGAGGTTGACTCGTTATCGCCAGTCGCGACCCCGTGACTTGCCAATTACCGTCCCGCTAGATTGCCAGATCTATACATACACAGACACTCGATTCAACGAAATTGCATGTTGCAAACTTCGTTTCCTCGCTTTCGTACACTATACCCCGACACAGTCTGCCTCTTTTTCTTATAAAACAAATCCAATAACAGAAACAAATTTTTAAAAAAGAAAAGAAAGAAATTATTCAAACTGTCGTAGATTTTGTATCTACTCTTAGAGGTGTAGAAAAATTCGCGAGCAATGAATTAGATCAATCGTATCTGACACTTAAATTTCGTTTTACAAGATACTACTTCAATCTCTACCTTTCTAATTTCACGTGAATCAATTTACAAAACTGTCTAACATTCGCTTAAATCCAAAAAGATTTGAATCTCTCGAAGAGACGTCGTGTCCGTGAAGCTTCTAAAGCAGTGGCTATAGTCGGAGCCAAATATGTTGGCGCGTCATGGCCATTTCTTCTTTTTCACATTAACGAACTCTATCGAACGAGATTCGTATATATCTCTTTTTGTAACGCGACCATTGTCTTGCTTTTAACACTAATCGTAACCACAGCCAGTCAAATGACCAATTTTTCAAAGGCTGTTTTCTGCCTTGTTTCCTATATTAAATTGACAATCGCTTGTGTTCCTTTCGGAAAAATATGATCTTCCGATTCTTGGCGGTGATTTGACCAGCTACGATAAGAATAGCTACACCTAAAGCACCAATACGGTTAGTATTAACGGTAACATGCTCTGTCCACCGTATCCTTGATAAAACCACGCCATGCATAATTTAAAATCGCGTCGAAAGGACACCACAAGACAACCGTTAACTGTCGAACGATGAAGAGTGAAACCGAAAAACGTGAAATAAGAAATGGCCTTGACCGGCCAATACATCTGTCCCCCGCTATACACGATCCTTTCGGAGTACAGGCAGCCGTGCACACGCGGCATCCAAAGCGTCTTGCCTTCGTCCGTCTCCTCCCGTTCCAACGATATTATTCACTGTACGATATTTCGCGAAGCGTGTATAACCGCTGAAAGACACGGATTGCGAACGCATATAACAGCCGAGGCCCGGCGGAAAGGAAGCGGCGAACGGCGGGGGCAGGAGAGTTTAGAGGAGGGTTGTTGAAGGAAGAGAGGAAGACGTGATCCAGAGAGGACGCGTGCTCTGCACAGATAGAGAGAGGAGATAGGGACGATACGAAGCACGGAATCGCGAGATGGAAGGTGGGCAGATGACACGAGATAGAGGACAGAGAGACGATAAAGGAGGAATAGAAGGGAAGAGCGAGCAACGTGTGTTATGGATATCCATTCGCGGCGAATGGGAGGCGAACGTAGTCAGTCTCACAGCAGAACGATCACAGGATGACGCGGCAAACGGTGGGAAACGAGCGATACAGCCTGGCACAGAGAGAGCTCGGCCTCCTTGCAAATCGCATCACAGATCAAACACGGCTTGTATATTAAACGTAACCTGCTAAGGCGTACCCGTCGACTGCTTATCTACTGTCCAACCTCGAGGATCGTTTCTAGATGACAACGTACCCTTTCCATACCATATTTCCACGAGATAGTTCCAACAATCGGCACCGTGTACCGTTGATCACACAGTGGTGCGTTCACTATTAAGATCGATCAACGATACCGGACAAGTTGTCGCTTCCGAAACGAGCATTCTCGACCAGTACTTTCGCGACCAGACACCTCTGCTGTCGCCGTTTGACGTCTCGATACGTGCGACACGTTGGTAGCGCCAACGTACTTACACACGAGCGAGACTTGCTCCTGAGAAGGCAGCCGAGGATGCAAAATTGAACGCCCGCGAAGAAGGTACGGTTGGCTGGAGAGCGTGTGACGAATCGCGGGAACGCTTGTACACTGCGTCAGCCGCTTAAGATCTGCCGGGAGGCTGTGATCGCGTAACCGTGTGGCTCTTTGCGTGCAATTCGAAAGCTAATGCATCGCTGTTGACGCGGGAATAGTCGGGGGGAGGGGAATGAGTTGGATTTTTCTGCTACTCCGAGAACAGACTGGAGGAGAGACTTCGTTACCCGATGGGGGAACTAGTGCAGTTGGAGAGATTTGGGTGTGTGATAGGTCATGCAAAAGGTTCAACGTGCAAATTCTCTGCTTTTTTCTTTTTTCTTTTTTATATATATGCTGATAAACGTAATACTTTGCTCTTTAATGTTTCACTCAGGATATCTTGAAAATATACAAAACATTGGCTTTGATATCGTGCGGTTGACAATATTTCCGGCTGGAATACGACTTCTCCCGGGTTCCTAGGCTCCCTTACGAACGTGGCGATAAGCTCTAACAATTATACAGGTATCGACTAATATCACATTTACATTGATAAAAAAGAAAACTTCCTCGATAGTTAAATTCACATACTTTCCAATCGACACTGCTCTCAAGTTTCAAAACGACCGTACTAAAAGCATAATACACCGATAAAGAGATAATCAACGTAATATAAAATCTTAACTGGTAATATTTTACTTCGGCAATGTGGTTCAACGTCGAGATAAATCTTAAGAACTCTACAAAACACAACTATCGACAGATAGTTACGATCGCTGTGCCAAACAGATCCTCCCGATGATCTAGCGATAAAAACTCTACGTACAATCTACTCGATGCTGAAAGACCGAGGGTCGGTCTCGATCGCTTTCTCTCGCGTCAAGAAATGTAAACCATCGATAGAACCACCATCAACACCCCACACACCAGAAATAAACTCACCTGGCTCAACGGGCGAATCCTTTCGTGGATCGACTTCTCCGCCTGCATGGCAGAGGGTGGCGGATGATCGGGCGTAGGTGGCTGAGCGTAGTGCGTTGGACTGGTCGGCAGCATCATTTGTACTCGTTTCAGGCGCTTGTCGGTCGCTTCGCGGGCCTCGGTGCCGGAATGCTCGTCGATGGTGTCGCGCTTGTCGTCGAGAAGGCTCTCCTGCGATGATTTGAGCGTGAGAAAAGCATTCGAGACGAACGTCTGCTCCTGGACGAACGAGTCTATCTCGCTGCACGGCGATTTGTCCGCGCACGGGCTGTTCCCCTGCTCGCAATTGTCGAACGCGTGTCGACGCAATTTCCGCCGTGGGTTCAACGTCTTGATCGGTCTGTTCTCGTATATCGATGTGATCGCCACCGGTTCCACGTTCGTCGTCTCGCGTCTCTCCTCGCCGTCCGGCACACGGGACTTCATCTCCACGTATTGGTCCACGCTTCTGGTCACGTGGCGTAATTGCTCGCGACGTTTCTGCAATTGTTCGAGGTCGATGTGGCTACGAGCGCCGCTACGCGCCATGAACAGATACTCGTAGTTGCTGGGGCCCAGCGAACAGTCCGCGGACAAGGACATCTGGGTCTGCAGGTGCGTCGGTGAGACAGACAGGTTGCGTCTCGGCGGTTTCTTCGGCGGCGTTGGCTGCAAACAACATCGGGCAATCCCAGTTTTCGCGCTTGTTAAGCTCGTTAGCGTGTTCGGTTACCGTGAGGAAGTTGAGTTTCGGGGTAACTTGAATTTTTTAATCGATACGGCTTCGAGGGATAGAACGAGCGATTGATTTACGCGTGTGCTTGATTTCGTTATGTTCGAACGACGGACTTTATTTTGCTGTTGGAACGACAAATGTGAAGTTCGGTATTTCAGTAAGGTCAGAGCGATAGGAATAATTGGAGATTAATTGAAACTGAAGTGTATACATAAATTTCGATCGGAGGAGGATGATCGATGTTTGAACGACGATACGATTGAATTGAGGTGAACGATATAGAAAATGAAACTTTCTTCTTTTCTCCCACTGTAGAAAAATAATTCGACGGGAACGAAAGTCCGCAACTAATGGGCGCCGTCCAATCGTCGGACATCTTCCGAAGGTAATATTCGAGATGTAGTTTCACGAAGCCGCCTCGTTCCAAGGAAAAATGTAGCCAGCGTCAAGCTGTCGGGCCAATTAACCCGCGATCAATTTGTCCACGTTAACGAACTGTAAGGCGCCTGAGATGATTCATTGCCGCGTTACACGGTACGGTTCTTCGTGCTAAAAAAAAAAGTAGCCGATCTCCAAGGACCGTCTCTTCCTATATCTTCTAATCTCTACTAGCAACATCGAAATTAACAAAAAACCGTAACTTCTAAACATTCCAAAGAAAAAAAAAGTTACCATCAAATCCGTCAAAGTTTAAAATACAATTTTCACAATACAAGATTCTCAAGAATTTGCACAATTCGCACCCGGTAAAACGACACGAATTTCTCATTACCTGAAAGCACAAGAACCGTGAGATATCTCGGGGCGAATCAATTACAACATTGAGAAAAAAATTCCGCCTTCCGAGCGAGCACACTTCTCGCGATCCCGTACAACCCTTCTCACCGAGAGTCAGGGACGGGATCTCGAGGCGAAAAAAGGGGGACCTTACGGGGTGAGAGAGGGTGGGGGGGTTATTCTTACCGAGACTTTACTGTTGGAGGCGGGGCTGTGGAGAGAACTGGACAAGGGTGCCATTGGCAAGTAAATCCCGGCGGCGCTGGAATCGTTGGGCAAACAACGCCGGTCCCGTGGGCTCGGTCCACCGACGCTCGAGGACGAGGAAACGCTCAATTGGTCCGACTCCCTGCCACCCCCGTATCCCGTGGGTAATGTCAAGGACAGATCCTCCGACACGAAGCTACCCTCCATTGTTCCTCGAGGTACCGGTGGCGTTTGGTACAATCCACTGTCAGAGCCCCTGCGCAACCAAACTGAATGTCTCAGCGGGACCAATTCACGATTAACTTGGAATTGCTAATGGTTTGCTTGGTCGAGCAAATCCTCGTTCCTTTCATTTTTTTTTTTCTTTTCTTTTCTTTCGTGCTTTTCGCTTTGTTTGTTTACTTGTGTACGACGGCTAAATTAGGTTAAACTTTAACGTAGTAGCGCTTTGGACGATAAACACTGGTTAGTTTCGATGGATTTTGAAGGTGCTTGTTACGTGGATTGATGAATTAACCGGACGAGTTTAACCCTTTAGTGACGGAGAACTTGGATTACGGTTCTAATTGTTAATTGTAGAACTGTGCTTAATGAATCGTTTATTACTGAGAAAAATAGTAAACTGTAGGATAAAGATAATCGTCATTAAAGGATTAAACGTTCGTTCCACCTTTTATTAATGAACAAATGAGACTACAATTAACTGGCAAATATTCCCAGGATTCACCCAACTCCGATTCATCCCGATAACTTTTTTACACGCCTGGCGACATTCGTTTAGATTAGGGAAAAGCAACAAGTAGCTCGATCGCAGAATTCAACTTACACGAACCTCGACAGACAATTTGCTAGAAAAGGTACTTTAGTGTTCAGTGGGGAATCGAAAGCGCTACCATAGATACCTGGCGGAATGTTTGCATGTCATTACCGTGTGGTGTCGCGCTGTGCTAATGGTATTCTGTTGGTGGTAGTGTTTTGTGGTTTGTCGTCGGGAGTTTGATCGGAACTTTCGAGAGTATTTATCGAGTTCAGAGTGTCGGACATGGACATAAAGACACTGTCGAAGACGGAACTGGGGTCAGAGTCCTCTGTCAGCTGGAGGGTCCTCCGTACACCGTTCACTGGTTCCCCATACTCCTCGTCTTCACTGAAATTCGCAATCCATCGGGTGTATCGTCAAGTTCGACACGATTTCCAGCGAATTCTTTCATCCTCGCATACTGAAAAGCGAAGCAGCGTAGCCGGAGCGAACACATAGCGTGGAACAGCGTGCCGTATCGAGAATATTTGAATCGTTTCAGCCGCTTTGTTTTTTCCCCAGAAATTTTTCTTCATTTTTTTCATTTCTATCCCCTGCTACAATTCGTAGTATCTTTATTGTATAACATACTTAAAGCCCTACTCGACGTTTCTCTCGTTAAATACATTCTTCCAATACCACAATGGCAACTTCTTTTTCTCCTTCCCACCCACTCATCTTAAAGAAACCGCCCCCTTGAAACATCCTTTACACAACCTCGGCTACCGGCGAGCCCTAACAATTAAGCACACTAGACGCACAAAAAGACCCGACCAGAATGGCCAGAAACTCGTTCATCGGTCAAGCCCAAAGAATGGCACACCGAGTATCATCGTCTCTCCCTCAACAATGCGTAAGTCCAAGCGGAGACGTCCGCGGGCGAGTGGCGACATTTTAATGAGGCCACGTAGACGAGGTAGAAAGCAAGCGGGAGAAACAGAAAGAGAAAAGCACGAGAACCGGTAGCAGCGGTAACAGTAGCAACAGCAACAGCAGCGGCAAGAGTAGAAGGAGCAAGAGGAATGGAAACAAGCGAAGGCAGAGGTGAATGAGAAGCCGGCGAACCGCGGCTGCAGGCCATGCCCATAGGACGAGGGAGAGAGCAATGGTTATTAGTTTTATGCTGAGACGGGCTAACATTTACATTGTTTAACGTGATGGATTCATCTCGAGGCGGCCGAGGCCACGGCTACCGACGTCAAACATTGACGATGGAGGTGCGGAGAGAACTCTGCTGCCGCGCGCCACTTTCTCTCTCACTCCTCTCTCTCTCTCTCTCTCTCTCTCTCTCTCTCTCTCTCACTCCATCCATCCATCCGTCCGACTTTCTTTTCTCTCTACCATTCACCATCTCCCTTCTCCCCTCTGTCAGTCTCTCGCGGTCGGCCTCGACAGGTCTCCTCTTTCTCCGTCTGGTCGAGCCAACCAGTCGCGCTTACCAAAGCTAGGCAGTAGTAGGCACCAGCCAGAGAGAGAGAATACCAATGGGGTGATATGGCGGGGGTGACCCAGGGGTGAACGAGGCGGTCGGACCCACCATCGCCTGCCTACATCAGGAAAATTAAACCAAGCCAAGCGGTGCTTAACGCGCTGGGGCTACACGCGGCCGCGCGCCACCTCCTCCAACCTCTTTTCCTCCACCTCCTCCACTTTCAGCTTCCCTTTTCGGTCCGAGAACCTTTCTTCCTCTAACTCTCCTGCCCCCGTGGCCACCCTGCTCCCTGCCCACCCTATCCTACTACCGTTAAACCCCCCTACACACAGAAGCGGCGGCGGTGGTGGGTGCAGGCAGCCAACATCGGTACTAAAACGGTACGCCGCCGCCGCCGCTAACCATCATCCAAGCACTCGCCACTCGCTCATTCACTCCGTGTGCCCAGGTCCACGTCTATGCTTTTGTTTACCCGACATCTCCTATATTAAAGCCGCCACGGTTATGCGCCCACCTATACTATATATCTCTAGAAAATATTACCCGCCTACCACCGCTGCTCTTATCCGATGCACCCACGCGATATTCTTTTCTCCGCTCTCCCTCGACCAAGATGACGCCGGATGAGCACAAATACGGGAACAGGTAGGCTCCGGCCTGAGTAGAATTGTTCTTCCTCCTCCTCCCTCTATCTCTTTTCTTTTTGTTTCCACTTTCTTTTCTTTTACTTTTTCCACTTCCGTTAGCGAACGTTCCTTTTTTTTTTTCTCTCACTCGACGTCGAAGTTCGCGCAATCGTCGGCATCGCGGAACGCGAATCGCGTGTACCGATGCGTTCCGGCGAGGGTTGTCCGTGGTGGGCTCGTCGCGATCGAACGCGACCGTTGTTTTGCATCGCTGGTCGAGGGGTTATTGTTACTCTTCTCTCTCTTCTCTCTTTTTTTTTTGCGTTCAGTTCGATAATGACGATAGGGACGTGTATCGTTCTTTTCTTATCGGCTCGTGTAATTATCGTAATTGGAATATTGGTTTTTGTCGGAGTATTCAATGTATATTCGTGTCTCGATTTTGTTTAACGCTCGACGAGCTCGAAGCGAATTATCAAAAATTGTGTAAAAAATCGTACAATGCAATTGCAAAACGCGAAGCACGTTGACGCACACAGACTCTCGCAAGAAGTTTCACAAAACAAAGGAGAAGACATCGAAAGCGACGAGAGGCGCGAGCCAGTGTGTGAAAAGGGAAAAAAGGCTGGATACTCACAAAGACATAACGGAAGTGCCGGAAACGCGGCGATCGTCGTCTCGAGGCTTATGATAGAACTGCCATTGAGTAGGCGACGTCCCTTCCGCCGGGGAGAGATCATCCCCCAGGCGTACGTTCTCGTAGGGGCTGCCCAATGAATCGTTCCCCTGGACCGGAATCGGGGGCAAGTTCTCGCTGTCCGCGTCGCTCTCCACGCCAGAGGAAGACCTATGCCCTGTTTTGCAAAGTTTCACTCGTGAATTGTCGTCGTTCCACGTTCATCGAACGGTCAATCGATCGTTCAAGAATGAGGAAATAATGAGAACAAGTGTACAGTTAACACAAGGACAATATGGATAAATTTAGGACATATGGGTACGTTGGAATATTTAATTGTTACAATTTATTACAAGAATTTATTACGAAGAATATTTTTTAGCAATTTTTCAAATTGGAATTAATTTTGCTTATTTGTAACAAAATTCGAGTAATTAAGGATAAAGTGAAATGCAGGAACAGAGTCGAAAAGAAGGGCGCCACTTCTGAGAAGCATAATCCAATATAGTGAAACCTCGTCGAAAGAGAGAAAAAGGTAGTCTTCTACGTTTGAAGAAGTAACTAAATGAGAGTAGAGCCGATAGGCTTAAATTAAGTAAAGGGAGAAACCCCAGCGGCTGATTAGTAAAATAGGATACATTATAACAAAAATTCAACTGATCATCGTCAATCCATTACGTACATATGACATAACAACATAACAAGATAGCCCAAGTATCTTCGTAACAAATTAACAAATACGTATCAGTTACACGCCACTTCAACCACTTCGTTCAATTCGTCCCAATTTAACCAGGCTACAATCCCGTTCACATAACACCCCGTCTCATTTTACATCACTGCCAGTTATCAATTTAACTATCGATACTCAATTAAGAATCGATTCCGCCAGCCTCACTATTAAACAAGCACACAAACGCGAATCAACGCTTTACAAACAATTATCCACCTACAATACAAAACCCGAAACTGCAATGTACACACACCACGTGAACACCCGGTTGAAAACAGGAAACGCGTTAAACCCTCCCATTCGCGTGCCATCGCGTTAAATCTTATCATGCAAGAACCGATCATGCAAATCCATGGGATGAACGTGTGACGAGCACGAGAGAATCAGATGGAATGTCTCGTCGTGGCTGAAGTATCGTTGCCTATTTATTCGCGTTCGATTGACAGCAACGACGAGACGCGTCGCTTTTCTCGCCCCGGTGTGCCTCGTTAATTGCACAGCTCGTTTGCACAGGGACGTCGCGGCGCGAAGAGGAGGGAAGGAGGAGCGAAAAAAAAGAGAGAAAGGAGAGAGAGAAAAAAAAGGCGAGCGTCGCGGCGGACACGCACTTTTTATCACCGCGGTGATGTCCTGAGTGACGTGCGGCGGGAACTGTCCCAGAAGATCGAGCACCGTGTTCTGTCGCGAGTCTCGTATGCCCAGGTCGACCCCTCGATCCAAGAGAGCCCGCACCACTTCCATCTTGCCGCAGAGCGCCGCCTCGTGCATCGCGGTCCCCGCAGACGTCCTCGTGTTCACGTCGACGCCCGCTGCCAGCAACACCTCCACCACCGCTCTGTAGACAGACAGACAGGTTTTCCATGTTTAATTCGTGTTCGAATCGACAGGTAGGTGTCTTGTGCTCGTTAGTAATCGCTTGTTTCCGGGAAACGGAAGACGATGTCGGAGTGTGTTAATGGGTTGGTGAGATGCAAACGAAGATTGGTCGGTTTAACCCCTTGACGCTCACGTTTTTCTCTGTTTGATGTGCCGAAAATGATCGATTTTATTTTTTGTTTGTTTTTCATTGTTTCTTAGGCGTGTAGAAATAAGTTTCCTGTTTATTTGCAATGCTGTGACATAGATTTTTGTGATAGAATAGAAAGGACAGTGGAATATGAACAGTGAAAGGAAGTAATTAAAGAAAATTGCACTTTTTGGAGGATTAGTTGTGTAAGACACGGGTATGAGTGTTACGGGGTTAAGTCAGAAGTGTATTTCTGAATATTGTCCCAAGTAAAATGTCTAAAATATTACTGAATAAAAAATTCAAGCCTTTCGATTTCCGGTTTCTGAACTAAAGTCGATTTCTCGACAGTAATTTGCAAAAAATTGGACGAATTTTCGGTAAATGCGATGAATTTGCGAACGATCAAAAAATTAGACATTTCGTACAACACGGGCAGATACACTTCCAACCACGATCTAACTTACCAAATACTAAAAAAATTCTCCAAAACAACTTTCATCCAAAGAAGAGCCCCCATCCTCGACATATACTCCACAAATATCTCAATCTCCCTTCCGTGTGTTCCATTATCGAGCGGAACACTTGAACAAACACCGCAATACCGTGAACCTTTCACACATCCTTTCGCGAAATTAACAAACCAAATTAGAGAAGCAATCCCTACTGTTCTCCCTCCAGCAGGCATACATATATCATCGACCGTTCGAATTTCCCGTTCTACGATGCGTAACGTCGACGAGACCCGAGCGAAGAACAGTTCCCGCGTGACGTCAGCTGAAAGTGGCCCGCTTGCACGCATTTCCCATTTCGAATGATACAACCCTTCCATACCCTCCCTCGTACCACTCGCGCGATGCTTGTAGTACGAAACCCAGATTTCGTTTTGTATCTGTTCAGCTGGCGTGCACCGACTGCAATGACCACAGCCATCCGTCGTATAGAGGATTCGTGGCTGGGAATCGGATTCACGTACACCTATGTTGTTATTACCCTGCCATAGGGGTATTTGTATACTGGCTTACCAAGAGCACCGATATTGAATCCGATAATAGACATTACTACAGCCCCCGTTCTCCATTCCTCCCCCGCCATTCCGACTCTCTCTCACTCACTCTCTGGCGCGCGCGCGCGCTCTCTCTTCCACACACACATACACACAGATGCACACAGAGTGTAGGTGAATGCAGGTTTCTCACACTGTTCATCGTCGGCGAGGCGCATTCAACGGATCCGCCAAATATCGTGGCGAGCGCGTGAAACGCGTGTGTGAACGCAATCATCGCAGTGTGCATCGGTACACAAGCGAGTCCCGGGTACGTTTCGACGTGGTCGTCCACGCGCGCGACCTACGTGCGTACACTTTGGGTCCCCGTTGCGCGCCTATACACATCGCCGAAAACGAGCGTACACGATGAAGTTCCGCGGCGGCCGCCGCGTAGTTTCGCGCCTGTCCAAACAGTCAAAATGCTCGTACACACGCCTGTGGACCTGGCCTTCCCGCTATTTGACCGTGGAGATTGTCCATCGAGAGTACCGGATTGCAGATTTTGCAACCTAATCAGCGCGACGAGCATCCCCGATCGAATCGCGTGAAATTTTATCGGAATTGGTGACACGAAGGTGTACACTGCTGCGATGGTTCTTTTTCTCTTTTTTTGGGAATGGAAAGTTTGTCCGTTGATAGGACGTGTTTCGACGGTGAATTTGATATAATATCGAAGAGTCGTTTTAATCGTGATTTTCATTCGTTTGATAATTTTGATTACGGAGATGTGTGTTTTATTTTTTTAGATACAGGAAGATTATTCTGGAGAATTGATATTCTTTTGGAGAGAAAATGTGTCGTTACGAACAATTAGTAAATTTCACTTCACATATACTGTGTAATGTTGATTCACTCGTGTGACACATCGATTAGGTGTCCGATGTCAGATGGACAGGTGCACAGAGATATGACTTATCGAATATCGTACAATAGCTCGCCTAATATAATAAGCTCCTCGCTGTCACTCGTGTTAATCAAATGTACACGATATAGTACTCTTGACAGCCTTTGTGATCACTTTCAGGCAAATTCATTGCAAATTTGCAATACAGTAATCGAAAAACATTGTCTTCCGCGTGTACAATAGACCAAGGAGATAATATAATAGATAACGTAACCAAGTAGTTAAACCAAATTACAATAGGACTTCCTTCATAACGTTAATCGTATATCAATCATAACTTCTATATTCGGCAATGCCAATACCTGTCCCCGTCCATCCAAATATTGCCTAATTACAGTACATTCAACCGAAAACTTCTCATCGACGAAACCAATACTTCCTAACACCTGTGCAAATATAAGGTGTTCGAGAATTAACTGCGTATTTCAATGAAACTGAATGAATTTCTAGAAAATTGATTAAGTTTAATTAAACCCAACCTAAACTGACCAATATTTGTTCTCATTTGTATAAATAGAGGGTGTCCCAAAATTAATTACATATTTCAGTAAAAATAGATGATTGTAAAAACGTAAATTAGGTTACATTCATAAAAAAAATTTTCATCTCTTTTTTTCCACCTATGCAGATACAGGATGACCGAAAATTAACTGCGTATTTCAATGAAATTAGAAGAATTTTTTTAAAATGAATTAATCTTAAGTAAACCTAACCTAAAGTAACCAATATTTGTTTTTATTTATATAAATAGAAGGTGTCCCAAGTTTAATTGCACATTTCAACGAAATTGGACGAACATATAAAAAATGACTGAATTATACGATCCTCAATTTACTTTTACACAACTGTATTCAAGAAGAAAATACCAAAACTTCATTTAACAAAAGTATTCAACACCTAAAAAATGTACTCCATCGATACCCCAACAGCTTCCAAAAACAACGAAAACCATCACCCCCTTCAACATTACCGATACCCATCCGTACAAACATTACCTCGCCAAACCTCGTGCATCCAAACATTTCCCAAAAACCAAGTTGCCAATATCCACCAAACGCACACGTTCCTCAACATCCTCGTCCCAGTGACGCTCGCGTGCCGCAGCGGCAAACACGCGCCGTCAGCCAGTGTGTACACGTGACGCGTTGCGAAAATGTGCAAAGTGCGTGTGTGTGCGTAGAGGCACGCACGTGTCAACGAGGGGAACACGATGTTCCGGTGCTCGCGCTCGCACCACCCTGTTTAACCCAAAATTCGCCCGGATGAAACGAATCTCGCGCCGCCTGTTTCAGTTGTCGAATTTCGGGTCTCCGTATCACGGATAGATGTAGCTCGATCATCGACGACGCGCGAGTAGAGGGTGGTCACAAAAAGGGGGGTGTGGTGCAGATTGAGCGGTATCGAACAGAGGTTGGGGAAGAATGTACGAGAGAGGGAAGGGAGGATGCGCGACTAGCGAGAGAAAATGCATTCATCGGACTGTGTATCGCGACGCGATCGCATTATAAGCTGCGAGCGCCAGTTAAAGCGATTACCGGCTGCGAGGCTGCATAGAAAAACCGACGTTATACCCGATTACAATGTGACTGCCGTTTCGCGGCGATTCACGATCGACGAACGAACGATTTTCGATTGCGCGCGCGCGCGCGTATGTGTGCTGTCCCCGCCGCGTTCTCCGCCACGTACAACAACGTCGATTATTTTAAAGGCTTACCAGCCGGATTATGGACGTGACGCCGCGATGTTAAATGAGAATGAATTGGCCGAGCAAAGCGTTAAATACGATTCCCCTCTGTAACCCCCTCTGCAACCAGGTTTGGAATGCTCTACGAACAGTGGAAACGAGCGGTGGTGCTTTGGAGGTAGTGGAAGGAGATGTGAAAGTTTTGAGGTGGTTTTAGGATGAAAGAAATTCTGTTAATTGTGGTTTATGGAAGAATATAGATGCTTCGGATAGGAAAAATAATCAGAGATGTGAACGTTTCGAGGGTGGTTTTTGGATGAAAGAAATTGGATCGATTGTGATTTTCGGATAAAAGGAATTCTGTTGATTCTACTATGTGGAAGAAGATAGGGAGATGATTCAGATAGCGGAAGGAAGATAATTAGGGATATGAACGTTTTGGAGTGAAAGAAATTCTGTTAATTGTGGTTTATGGAAGAATATAGGTGCTTCGAATAGTAAAAGTAGTCAGAGATGTGAACGTTTCGAGGGTGGTTTTTGGATGAAAGAAATTTTGTTGATTGTGGTTTTTAGACGAAAGGAATTCTGATGATTATGGTATACAGAAGAAGATAATTACGTAGCTTTCGAATTATTTTTGCTGTCTCGTACAGATCAAGAAGGAAAACACTGAACTGGAAAGGTAGCAAAAAAAAAGAGACGATAAACATTTCAAGATGTCTAAAGTGCTATCTTACGTTATCGTTTGCTCTGTATCTTGAAACGTAACAAAAGAATGTAAATGGTAAAAATTATATCACGTTTCTATACCGATAAGATAACGCCGAGTATTATCGATCTTGCCAAACGCAGCGTTTCATCAAGCTGAATCGATCGTAATTTCACAGGATATAGCGTTCGATATTCCAAACATCGCATCGAATATGAAATATTGATTCTCTCGTCGACACTTCGAAAAACGATATTCCACTGTGTGAAATAATCTCGAAATTCAATTTACGGAAAAAATCATACTTAAACGTAACTTTCGACGCTCCCACGGTATTACGCTTATTAAATACTCTCGAGCTTTAATTTACAAAATGCGCAGTTTTCAATCCAAATATTCCTTCTCACAATTCCACGAAAAGTTATTTACGAGCGCGCGAGCATTTTAAATCAACGGTGCGTTTTTAACGATAAACCGGAAGTAATAAACCAGGTGCACGGTGTATCGGCTGCATATTCCGAAATATCGCGAGGATGAAAAAAAAAAGAAAGAAAAAAAAAACGAATAAAAAAAAACGTGCAAACAGCCGTTCCGAAGAATTGTTCCGAGGCCGGTGCCGAAAATTCATTTTCGTTATTTAACTGTACAAGCACCGGTGTAATCGATTATCCGGTTAATCTTGCATCATCCGATTGAACGGTTCGATTAATCAAATAACGAAGGGCCACGCTTACAATATCGTTTATTTAACTGAACATTTTTGCCGGACGACGCAACAATCACCAATTATTTGTGTAAATAGTAGCAAATCGATCGAACGTAGAGCGGCGGAACCTTCCTCCGTCGATATTCCGGTGACCATTTTTGTTTATGGCGCCGCATTGTTGCGCCACCGCCACGAAATAACACGTCCTCCGCGTCTCGGGGTATAACGCGAAATACGGTTTCAACGGTTACACACGCCATTCCCGTGTCGCCTATTTTTGATGGCCCTCCCTCTCGCTCGAATAAATCGCCCGCCGTCGCGCAATTTACGTTTTCAAAGTCCCCGCTTTGTCAAAAATATCGGTCCCATATGTAACTTTTCCTGAAATTTACCCCTGCTGATAGGTACGTGGAAACCTTCGAGTATACATGGGTGTAAAATACGAAAGGAAATATTTAATATCGATGTAGAGAAATATATCACTTTTTCACCGATGATTAAATCTGTGAAAAATTTCAAGAAACGTAATCAATATTAGCACGTCGAAGACCGGGAGATTCACCGATGGCGAGCCCGCAATTTGCCCGTGGCGCCCGCGGGGCTCGTCGATGAGCGGCGATCTCAAAATTAGTAAAAACACTTCATTCTAATAAATTGCAATACTTGTAAAATTGTCAATGTCGTCGCTGTTATCACAACGACGTAAAGAAACAAATACATATTACGATGTATTTTATTGAAACAGAAACTTGGTTCCAGCGCCACGGGCAAGTTGCGCAGAATCGGAATTGAACGTGTTAAAAAGGCCCCCGCAAAGAATAAAAATGAATTGGCTGAACCAAATGAGAACTGAAGCTGCGAACACATACCTGAAATCATACGCGAAACATAAAGGAACTACAGGCGAACTATTCCACGGGCAATATTCAGACCAGCAAACGCAATAGAGAGAACGTCCCGGAAATCCCCCGGCTAAGAGAGAACAACGCATCAGCGGTGGTGCGCTTATCGAAGCGTCAGAACACCTTGGCGCATAAAGGGGCATTAAACATCGAGCGTGGTCGGAGGGCGAACGATCGCGATTCAGCCAGGCCGCGATTTCAACGTGGACCGATCTAGGTCGATACGTTTCGAAGGTAATGATTAATACGATCCTCGTAATCGAGAGGCGGCCAGCAATGCGCACACGGACAGCAGACAGGGGGGAGAGAGAGTGCTCTCTCTCTCTCTCTCTGGTGCTGCTGCTCTATCGATGCCTAGCTGCGAATGCATTCGGTACGGTGGCTCGAGGAACGAGGAGGAACGATAGAGAGGTGATCCAGAGGGATGGTAATATAGGACGTGTGTAACCAGGAGAGGGTTGCGACGGATCATGCCAGTTGGAGGACGTACATATCGTATTCGACGGGATTACGCAACGCGGTGCTTTCTGATTGGCTCTAATGGGCAACGCTGCAAATGGCTCGACATCGTTATGGTTAGCTGAAACGAGTCCATTGTTGTTCCGGGATACAATGCGCGAGCTGCATTTCGCGGTAATTAGCTCGAACGGTTCCCAGGAGGAGGAGGGGGGGGAAAAAATGTTCTCGCTACTTGGATTCTGGAAATTTCGAGTTGAAGAAAAATATGTGATCCTTCTTTGGAGGAAGTTGTTAATCGACGAGAAGTTTTACGGTAGAATTTGTAGGATAACTTTTTGTTCCATCGAGCGAAGAATTTCGATTTAGTAGATTAATTATAAGGCAGATTTTTAAATTACAAGGTAATATTTGGATAATTCGGAACATTCTCGCGACTTGGATTCTGAAAATCGAAACCTAGAGAAAAAGACGATTTTGTAAATTTCGTAAATTAATGCGGAATTTTTGAAATTCATTTCTGAATCGCACGGATAATTTTCGTAAGGGAAATAGGTCAGAAGCTATGGTCTAATTGCAAGTAAACTTTCCAAGTAAAATGTTGAGAAGTGGTTCATTCGGGTCAAGTAGTACGAGTCAATGTTTAATGGTTCATGAAATATTCAGCAACAAAGATCTATTTCATACTCTACCGCATACTATATTTACGACTTCACGGTTCTTTTAAATAAGAAGATGCAACGACAGTGGTTGCATTAAATGAAATTGACTTTCTTCCCTAGAAATGCGATGAAAAAAGAGAAATAAATAATCACGACTACCTGTAAGAAAACTACTTCACCATTCTACGATTTCTTCATACCTATTCAATATTTAAACACTGAATCAAATAAGAAAAATAAAAATATTAAATTATCAGTCTCATAAATCAAAGCTACACTTCTATTTAAAATTAAGTTTCATTTCCATCGTAACTGTGTCGCAACTCTGTTACAAGGTAAAAGGGTTAAAACTCGCTGTTTCTCTTTCCACGCGAGTTACATGAAATTACGCTTCACTTTACATAATCGCTGTTCTTCCGAAGCGCAGAATCTATTTACACATCGATGCTAAATTTTGCAACACCCCCGTGCAACTTTCTACCTCGTAACAAATCCCTGTTTAACATTTACGCAAGCACAGTCGAGGATAAAATGCGAGTACGTTCCACCTACGGTCCCGGAGACAAACTGGTCACCGGGTTGCGCAACAACGGTGCACACTTGTGCAAAGATGGACTGTTATTTGCGAAAGGGCGAGGGGTGAAATCTGGATAGATTAAAAATCGACGAATTTTCTTTTCGTTTCGCGCGCGTTCAAATTAATCGTGCGACGCGTGTGTACGCACGCCTATTCGCCAGAAAACGCGAGTACACGAGGGCGCAGGCCTTCACGAGTCATGAATAATCTAACAACGATCCTGATCTGCGATGCAACATAAAATAGATTTCATGGACAGCGGCCGGTAAACGCGAGCGCGCGCGCCGCCGCCACCACCCTCGCGTGTTGATCAAACGCCGCGCGACGATCATCGGCTCAGCTTGATTAAATAAAGAGCGCGTGCAACTGTTGAACGATCCTGGAACCGCTTCACAATTCCACCGAGTCCGCAACTTGAGAATATCCAACGGAATTCTTTTTCTTTTTTTAGGTGAACCCTTTGACGAAACCGAGGGATAAAAATTCGAAGATGAACGACGGACGAAAAGTTTGCGTCGCGTGGAATTAAAATTAGTATTTGTCGTATGTGATTAGGTTTGGAAATTTTATGTGAAAATTGAGTTCATCGGGGGTTGAATTCTGTTGCGAAATGTTCGCACACGTACGACTGTTAAAAATGAAATGTTAATAAACGTATGAGTAATAGTTTGTTTTAAATATGTAGAATTTTTAGTGTTCGTGATAAAGTATGAATTTTATACGAGTGGACTAGAATTTCTTGAGATGAGTCTTGTTACTGATAAACACGCGAAACGTGAGAATTTGTAAGAAAGTATTGCTCATCGAGTGATTACAGCTGTGCAACGTGTAAAGATCGAAGTTTTGAAATATCGCTTGTTACGCAGTACCAGAATTTATTCGAAGATTTGTAAAATTGCTTTGGATGAACTTTATTGACTCTACTTTCATTTACAATCCCGAATAAAATTTCACATCTCCGATAGTCGATTAAAAATTCACCATTATCCAAAACACTCTCACGAAATCCCAATGAAAGAAGGGAACTTCGAAGGAACTGTAGAATGTTTAGAAAAAGAAATGAAACGACTCACCTGTGACCATTTCGCGAGGCCAGATGCAGCGGGGTGTGAGGGAAAATCACCGACGAGGAAGAATTCCGGAGAGGCACGATCAGCTCTGGATACGTACTAACGAGCAATTGCACGGTTTCCAATCTATAAAAGATAATTAATTTTACAGAAGGAGCACAAAGCCAATTAGCGGCGTCATCGATTATTCAGTCTCGACGATCAATTATGCGCGAGCGAATTTCAGTCCTGGCCGACCGGTTTAAAGCTGCTCGAATTTCAAGCAAACCGGCGCCGAATAAACAAACCCCGAAATTATGAACGAACTTTTAAATGTAAACCCAAAGAGGGGGAGCGGGCGAAAAAGT